GAAGGAAGGAAGGAAGGAAGGAAGGAAGGAAGGAAGGAAGGAAGGAAGGAACTCACTAAAGTAGGTTATACAACATATCCACACCGTGTTTTTTTTCTCTCTCTCAAAATTACAATAATAGCGGATAGCCATCAGTGCTTTTACATTTTGTTAGTTGTTATAAATTGCTGTGGGAAGAGCCAGTGCTTCAGGCTGACATTTGTCTATTTCAGATTTATGTTTGAATAGATGTACTATTCGTCCTATTTTTCATTGTAGTTCATGACCTCTTTATAGATAATCAACTTCTATTCATATAAGGCATTCTTATCTCACTATAATTTTGTAATATCTACTGTGCTATGACTCCTGCTTACATCATAAATAAACTATATTTTATTCCATCCATTGTTAGAATTAATGAGTGGACAGATATAAACCCATTTAAACCCATTAGTGTTTATTTTCTGACATACAATCGGACTTAATCAATGATAAACATAGTTTCTTCCTGTTTCTCAGGTCAGAGTATATTACTTTCTATTCTTAATAAATTTGCCCCATCAGAGGATTTTTTTTTCAGATTTAGTATGAAACAGTTTTGCTTCTCCTGAGGAATTTTTATTTATATTTATAGATACTGTATACCTCTTAAGAGTCCTATTTGTATTCCCTGCTATGCATTGGCTACTAAGATGCTCGGAAGTGGACTTAGGATTCATTGCATTGAGCATTATGGCATGGGGTTTTCTGTCTAGTAATTCCTTCCCTGATTTACATTGTTGTTGTTTTTTTTTAACCTGGAACATTAGTTCCTTTTATTTTATTTTATTTTATCTTATATTCAGGATTTTTTCAATTACCAAAATCCTCCTTTGAACTAAGTTGGAAATAAATAGGTACATTCTAAAGATATATCTTTTACAACCATTTTCAATACTGTAGGAAAGAAAATATATTGAAGTGCTAGGGCATACTTTTGAATAAGAGATGAAAAACACATTCATCTTTAGTTTAAGAATACTCAGAGAAGGTCCAAATCCTAAATTCCAAATCCTATATATAAATAGGATTTGGAACTATATATATGTATATAAACATAAAAATGTATGTTTATATATGTCTATAAAGAGTGAAACAATTAAACTGCTATTAAAATGATGCTTTCTTTCTTTTTTTGGTGTGGGGGGTGCGGTTCTAAGAAAACTAGCACGTGCTAGATGCTTATGAGACAAATGGAAAATAATAGCATTTTAAAATTTAACTTTCAGTAGGAAAACAATGGAAAGAAAAATTAAACTAGACAGTTCACCATACAAAAAGAATTTTAAATGAGGGTAAGTGGAGTGCAGTGAAATAATCTGGAAAAAAACTATAAACCTTTAAAACACTAATAATAAACAAATGTTATCTGAATTAAACTGACAGGTTTTAATGGGCCATATGTAATTTACTTGTGTCCTGATGAGACCATAGTTTTCTCCAAAGCTCATGCCTAATTTTTTTTTTTCATAATGAAGATAAAGTAGCACACATCCCAAAAACTCATTTGAAAGATGCTATAATTTTATCCAAAAAGATAGTGAAGGCCCATGTCCCTTTTGGGGAGCTTGTATTTTTTTACATAACATGGTTTGCAAGAAAAAGCTGGCCATGGAGTAGCAGTTTATTCCATAAGCAGCCAATATATTTGCTGAAATGTTTGTTCTTTTGGTCCTAATCACACTGCAATCTTTTGACACTATTTCAATGACAATAATTGCAACAATTAATAATATCCAACCAGAAATGAAAAGCTCGTGACTGAATTGCACAATGATGTCCTATAGAAACTTTATGGGTATGTGTTCTATGTTTTGATGTTTCTTTCTCATGTTTTCTATTTTCTTTTTTATATTTTTCTTTAAGTTCTAGGATACATGTGCAGAATGTGCACGTTTGTTACATAAGTATACATGTGCCATGGTGGTTTGCTGCACCTATCATCAAAAGAAGACATTTATGTGGCCCACAAACATATGAAAAAAAGCCCAACATCACTAGTCCTTACAGAAATACTACTCAAAACTACAATGGGATAACGTCTCACAGCAGTCAGAATGGCAATTATTAAAAAGTCAGGAAACAACAGATGCTGGCAAGGCTGTGGAGAAATAGGAACGTTTTACATTGTTGGTGGGAATGTAAATTAGTTCAACCATTGTGGGAGGTAGTGTGGTGATTCCTCAAAGACCCAGAACCAGAAATACCATTTGACCCAGCAGCCCCATAACTGGGTATATACCCAAAGGAATAGAAATCATTCTACTATAAAGAGACATGCACACATATGTTTATTGCAGCACTATTTATAATAGCAAACACATGGAACCAACCCAAATGCCCATCAATGTTAGACTGGATTAAGAAAATGTGGCACATCTACACCAATGGAATACTATGCAGCCATAAAAAGAAAGATCCTGACCTTTGTTTGCAGGGACATAGATGAAGCTGGAAGCCATCATCCTCAGCAAACTAACGCAGGAATTGAAAGCCAGCCACTGCATGTTCTCACTCATAAGAGGAAACTGAATAATGAGAACACATGGACACAGGGAGGGGAACAACATACACCAGGGCCTGTTGCAGGGTCAGGGGAGAGGGGAGATCATTAGGACAAATAGCTAATGCATGAGGGGTTTAAAACCTAGATGACGGGCTGGGCACGGTTGCTCACGCCTGTAATCCAAGCACTTTGAGAGGCTGAGGTGGGCAGATTACCTGAGATCAGGAGTTCAAAACCAGCCTGGCCAACATGTCAAAATCCCGTCTCTACTAAAAATACAAAATTCAGCTGGGTGCAGTGGCATACATCTGTAATTCCAGCTGCTTGGGAGACTGAGACAGAAGAATCGTTTGAACCCCATAGGTGGAGTTTGCAGCAATCCAAGATTGTGCCACTGCACTCCAACATGGGCAACAGAGCAAGACTCCACCTCAAAAAAAAAAATCCCTAGATGGCAGGTTGATAGGTGCAGCAAACCACCTTGGCACATGTCTACCTATGTAACAAAGCTTGCTTTCTGAATACATGATCATTTTGCTAAGGCCATTTTTGTGTACCTTAGTGATTTCCTCTAGTTGTTTACAAATGATTTAAATTTAAAGAAATTATATATGCCATCCAAAAGATATGGCCATATTTGCCTTTGCCTTTTTCTCTATCAAATGTCATTCTTTTTCTACCAGATTCTTATCTGTAGAAGTTTAGCTTTGATTCTAGAGCACAAGAGAAATAGTGAGATTCTAGCTCTCATTTTTCCCTTCCTCTATGTTGCCTATGCCCAGAATCTAAATTAGGTCAAATTTTAAAAGATATCTCTTATGAAAGCTCATTTATACACACACACACACACACACACACACACACACACACACACATTCATTTAACAAAGGAAAAAATACAGCAAGTTGGGAAGTGGCATTTATTAACGTCATTTTCATTTAAAAAAGTAAATGCAAATGATAGCAGTAGTTACTTACATGCTATAATTGGTTAAAGTCAACTATACAGAGAGCATGCATTCAGACTAAAGGATGAGATAGCACCATAGGTATAGCCAAATCTGCTACTGATTTCTTGAAATCTAATAAGCAGAAAGCTTCTTACACTTAATTGTTGGTACTCTAGAGGGCTTCCCACCTAGTTTGCTGCACCAAGGAGCTTTCAAACTGTGGTTCTAAAACAAATTGTGACACAGCCTAGGTGATATATCTTACTAACAATAGTACCGGAATCTTGGGAGAGGTCTTTGACCTGTGTCAAGGTTTAACTATTAGGCAGTGAGCCAAGAAAGAGCCACCCTCACTAACTTCTAGGAATGCAGCGCCTGAGCAATAACTTCTACCACAGGGTTAGGAATGGCCATATTTGTTCTTTAAGACATGTGATTCAAATTTTTCTGCTAATTAAACTATGGCTTTCTTAGTCCATTTGGGCTGCTGTAATGAAAATATCATAAACTTTGTGGTATTTCTCATTTCTGGAGGCTGAGAGGTCCAAGATCAAGGTACTGGCTGGTTTGGTGTCTGGTGTGGAGCTGCTTCCTGGTTCAGAGGTGGCTGTCTCCTTGTTATAATTTCATGTGGTAGAAAGGGCAAGGGAGTTCTCTGGCATCCCTGTTATAAGAGCACTGATCTCATTCTTGCCCTTATGACCTAATACCTCTCAAAGGGTTTGTATTAATCTGTTTTCACACTGCTATAAAGGATTACCTGAGACTGGGTAATTTATGAAGAAAAGGGCTATAATTGACCACAGTTCTGCATGCTTAACAAGATGCATGACTGGGAGGCCTGAGGAAACTTACAATCATGGCAGAAGGCGAAGGGGAAGCAAGGACCTTCTTCACGTGGTGGCAGGAGAGATAGAGAATGAAGGGGGACGTGCCACACACCTTCAAACAACCAGATCTTGTGAGAATTCACTCACTGTCACGAGAATAGCAAGGGGGGAGTTTTGCTCCCATGATTCAATCACCTCCCACCAGGCCCCTCCCCCTACATGTGGGTATCACAACTTGAGATGAGATTTCAGGTAGGGGGGATACAGAGAGAAACCATATCAGGCTCCGCCTCTACATACTATCACATTGGGAATTAGATTTCAATATAGGAATTTGAGGGGAACCTAAACATTCAATCTGCAGCATTGGCTATCAGGGATAAAGTATGGACTACAGGAACTTTTAAACCAAAGATATATATAACGAAGAAAGGATTCTAAAGATGCATTGTGGAAAGGGTACATTAGATATTGACACTCAATTCTTTCTACTGGCCCAGTGTTCCTCAAACTCTAGGGTACATCAGGAGCTCGGAGAAAGCTTTTTAAAACCCAGATTGCTGGTCCTCATCCCCAGAATTTCTGAGTCAGTAGATTTGTGGCAGGTGAGAATCTGCATTTCTAATAGACTCCAAGGTGATGCTGCTGCTGCTTGTTGGGGACCACATTTTAAAACCACCATGCTGACCCTCCATCTCACATACCCTCTGCCTGTTCTGCTTGTCCTGACTATGTGCACCTATTTCAGGAGTTCTGCCCAGTGCAAATCAGAAAACTCTCTCCAAGGGTAGCAATTAATTTTCAGGATTCTCTATGTCGTAAGGAGGTCTTCAGATACACCCTTGAATGGTAGAAAATGCCTCTTGGCTAGACCAGACCCCTCATTTTAGGAGTTTTCGAAGGTAATATTAAAGAAATAAGTATCAGCTGACAAAAGAGTTTTCGAAAACATCTCTCTTCAACTCAATAAAAAAAATGTCCTATCGAGCACACTCCAGGAAACTTTAGTCCAAAACTAATAATAGTACTGTGTAAATGTTTCTTTTTTTTTTTTTTTGAGACGGAGTTTCACTCTTGTTACCCAGGCTGGAGTGCAATGGCGCGATCTCGGCTCACGGCAACCTCCGCCTCCTGGGTTCAGGCAATTCTCCTGCCTCAGCCTCCTGAGTAGCTGGGATTACAGGCACACGCCACCATGCCCAGCTAATTTTTTGTATTTTTAGTAGAGACGGGGTTTCACCATGTTGACCAGGATGGTCTCGATCTCTTGACCTCCTGATCCACCCGCCTCGGCCTCCCAAAGTGCTGGGATTATAGGCTTGAGCCACCGCGCCCGGCCCTACTGTGTAAATGTTTCAATTCACCATTTTAAAGTTTTATTTGACATAGAATTCTTTTTTCAAATGAAATCTTGCCCAGAACACCAACCTATAAAGCAGATTCTTGGCAGAATAGGCATCATTTGTAGAAAACCTGAAGCACCTGGAGAATCCTATGATTCCAAGGAACACAGTTTGAAACCCCATTTAATGCATAATAAACACAGAGCCTTGTGTAGGATGCTATTGCTGGAAGGTGTCGTTGAAGCCTAATTTATAACCCTTCTCCTAAAAGGGTTATAAGCCTGAACTAGTGCTTCTTTCTTCACTCCTTTAAAAAAATGAGCACAGGAACACTATGTGGAAATACCCGGGCAGGTTCATTTTCAGAGATCTCATCATATAGTATTTCCATAGTCGGTATTTTTAAACTGACTGATAGCCATTCCTATGACTATCTTATCAGCAATGCTGTGTTTCCAGCCTCAAGGGGTTCCAGCCTCAAGGTGCAGAGCTTGTGTTTCCAGCCTCAAGGTATTATGCTACAGGCCACTTTTTTTTTTTTAATCTCTGACCAGAATATGCTATGCTTTGACCTACTTCTTTCTTTGTGATTCTTTCTTTTGAGGCTAGAAACATCATGCTTTAATTCCTGTAACCCCCGAAATAAAAATAATATTGAGAAATATATTATGCTTCCCTGTTTGTTACTGATTGTTGTCTTAACTGCCTGTGTGTTTCCCAGCAGGAACACTCACGGCAAAATACTCTTCATTTGGAGATGGCGGCGCCAAGCAGATGCTGAATACCGTGTTTTCATGTGGCATTTTTGTTTACTAATTTACAAAATTTGTTTTACCCCCTGCAGCTATAAATGAAAAAGCTATAAAACTAAATGAAACTCTAGGAACTCAAGACAAGGCCTTTGAGATAAATTTGGAAGGGCTTCAGAAAGAGATTGACCAGATGATTAAAGAACTGAGGAGGAAAAATCTAGAGACACAAAAAGAAATTGCTGAAGATGAGTTGGTGTGAGTAGATGCGTTGTTATTTTTTCATTTGACAAACTGAGATTTCCAGATAATTTACAGTTTCTAAATTTTTATCACACATGTAAGCAAAGAATACTCTTGTTTTTCCAACCTGGAGATGTTTGCTATTTTATCATTTTATCTACCCATCTGTCTATCATCTATCTATTGTTTATTCATTTACCTATTTAATTGTACTTTACCATTGTTCTAAAATGAATCAAAAGCATATTCTTGCCTACATATAAATAATGAAGTAAATGATTTTTTCTGGTGCTACCCCTTCTATAATTAGGCTAATGAGCTTGATTTGTTAATCACCTGTCTTAAGGACTTCTAGACTATCAGTTGATTTTTGTTTTAAGAAAAATACCTTTGGATAAACAAAGTTATGACTTTACCATTCATGTATAGGCCATCCTATACATTTTATCATCTTAAGAAATGCTGAAAAGAAAAGTCATCAAATAATAAATACTTTCAAATAAAAGTTGGGAATTTGAAGATTGGGAACAGTGATAGTGATTTTACCCATGCTAAATAACTGTTATAATAACACACTCAATAAAATAGATACATCTCTACATTCATAGTCAGCTAACTTCAAAGTGGTAGAATTATTAATACCTAAATAATATATACTAAACCAGCAATATCAGCATACCTGAGAACTTGTTAAAAATACGGATTGTCAAATCCCATCCCAGACTTCCTGAATCAGAAACTTTGGGGATGGGACCCAGCAATCCATGTATTAACAAGTCCTTCAGGGAATTATGAGGCATGTCAGCTTGAGAATTACTGCTTTTCAAGTATTTAAACTTTCTTAAAGACTCAGAAATTATCTCTTTAGAAAAACTAGGTAAGTTAAACCCAAAAAACTTCCAGGTCAGTCAGTTGGAAGAAAAAGAAAAGTAGATTAAAATCATGCTATTCCACTAGCATGGCAATAACCTAGAATTCTGTTCACAGTTTCTAAGCAAACATATCAATATTCATCCTTACATTCAAAGTAATAGAGAAAGGTCTCATTACAATGAAACAGGTGGATTGTTTGATTTTAGTATGTGAAGTGAATCATAAAACTCATTTCATCAGTCAGATTCTGAGAATGACATGAGACCCCTTCTGATTGAAAATGTTATTTTACTAACAAATTTAAAGGGTTTTTTTAAACATCTGTTTTGCTTTCATTTTAATTAATTATAAGTGGTCTCAGGTACCAGTTTTCACTTGATTTAGCACACAGTGAATCTATTTTACATGTTTTCTTATTTTCTCATTCTTCTCATGTTAGCATCTCTTTGTAACATGGTTTAATACCAATAAACCCTATGGCGGTGACATGAGCTCATTGTCTATTCTTGGGCTGTGGGTGGTTACAGAGCTGCAGAAGGCCTTCTGAAGAAAGTGAAGAAGCTGTTTGGAGAGTCCCGGGCGAAAAATGAAGAAATGGAGGAGGACCTCCGGGAAAAACTGGCTGACTACAAAGACAAACTTGATGATGCTTGGGACCTGTTGAGAGAAGCCACAGATAAAATCAGAGAAGCTAATGGCTTATCTGCAGTAAACCAGAAAAACATGACTGCTTTGGAGGTGAATCTTGGGGGTACATTTATCTCAATCTCAGAATGCGGGGAGTGGGGGCAGTGTTGAACATGGCGGGACTATTCAAGTTGATGCACATTTACAAAGGTCAAGAGTAACAACTCTGAAAGGGTACTTCTAAGAATCAGAACAGGAAATGACTTTTTTTGTTTGTTTTTCTTTTAATGACCAATTACCATCACCCAAAGAATCAAATAAAATTTCAATAAGTTGAACTTTTGAAGGTATTTAAGAACTCTGTGGTACAGTGGAAGAAGTTCTTTACAGGGAGTCAGGGGACCTTGATCTCAATGACAACTGTGCCAGTAACTAGACATACAAATTGGGCAATTCAGCTAACATCTCTAAGCATCAGTTCCCCAAATCTACAATGAGTGCATTATACTACAGCAAATCGGGTATCTTCAAATATTCATATCACATTATTTTGCAGCTTTCCCAATTTAATTTATAAACTTGGTTCAGAGATCTTGCTGCCAGAAATCACAGAAGTTCCCTACACTTTCAAATGCACCTGACAAATAACTCAATGAATTGACACCAGAGCTTGGAAAAAATTTGGTTCCCTTTTTTCTGTACAGTGAGTGTTATGCAAATGGTCTTTTAAAAAGGACTAACATGAACAAATCAGGTCTGGGTTATTTTCTCCTCCCTTTCTTCACAGGCAACAGTTACTTATCAGCTCAAGAAATTCTGGGCAGCCTCTATCTTTTTCAGAGTGCTGATGAAACTAGAACTAAAACAGGTTCCTCCATTATTTTTTTCTTCTTGTTTTTACTTTCTTTCTTAATCTTAGCATAGTAAGTGATCACTTTTCCCAAGAGTCAATTCAGCACATATAACAGCAGAAACCTGTATTTGATATTAATATTTAAACAACAACAACTTTCTCCCCAGAGACAAATTTGCCTTTGTTGTTTTCCAACTGTCTGACTCCAACAGGTCAGAAAACATCAGCAGACCTATATATCTTCTAACATATAATTTCAGCTTTAACAATAACTCAACACTCTTTGGCATATAGCATGTATGTAGAAATGTTTGTTGAATGACATTAGCAATTAAATAAATGAACCAGGATTTTTTTTTCTTCTGAGATGGCATCTCACTGGAGTGCGGTGGCATGATCTCAGCTCACTGCAACCTCTGCCTCCCGAGTTCAAGCAACTCTTCTGCCTCAGCCTCCCGAGTAGCTGGGATTATAGGTGCACACCACCACACCCGGCTAATTTTTGTATTTTTAGTAGAGACAGGGTTTTACCACATTGGCCAGGCTGGTCTTGAACTCCTGACCTCATGATCCACCTTCCTTGGCCTCCCAAAGTGCTGGGCTTAAAGATGTGAGCCACTGTGCCCAGCCGAACCAGGATTTTTTAAATCTATTGATTTCTATTTTCCTTTGGATTAAGTAGTAAGAGGATGTATTACATTTTTTAATATATTTTATTTCTAGGTCCCTCTTCTGGGACTAAGCCTTGTCATTCTGGTAGAAGATTGAAGAGGCTTACTTTTTTTCTTAACTGATGCACCTAATCTTAACCAATTTGGAGTCTACTGACATGCCAGCAGTATTCCAGAAAAAGCTCCCTCCTGTGAGGCGGCATGCTAGGCCACTGTCCTATCACAGGCTCCAGCAGGATTCGCCCTGCCCAGTGACACACCAGCCGTGTGATTTACCCGAAGGTTCACCTCTCTATTTTATGGCAACAGTTTGAAAAATGAAAATTACCTGTGTGGAGAGCATAGTAAGTATTTGAGAAATATTTCAAGAAGAGTTATATGGCACAGTCAATAGTACCTTCAGTCGTTTCTTTTAGTGATGTTTAAAACCAGAAATCACCATTCTTGGGCACCCCTACAAATGCCTAGAGCTTATGTATAGTCACTACTGAAAATCTAAGTGGTCCTTTTTGGATTTTTATCTTATGTGTTGTGCTTAACTAAAGGCTTGTTAAGATGTTACTGGATAAAATAGGTAAGCTAACTGAATTCACATGAATAAGGTATGGATTATTTAAGGTTGCTTAGATTATCATGGTTGCTGCTAAAATGGCTGAAAATCACGTGGAGGGTTTGTTAAACAAGCAGGGCCTATGGTCTCCCACCCAGAGTCTGTGTAGGCCGGTCTGGGGTATGGCTCCGTGTCCCTATTTCTAACACTCTCCTTGGACTAATCTGATGCCTATACAGGTTTGAGGAAAACTGACAGATTGTATCTATTTGACTGAATAATAAGCTGTATTTTAAATAAATAACTCCCTTATGACTGTGCCTACAATGAAGGTGATATAATTAAGACCCAACTTGAAAACATTTTATTTATTTTAAGGTGGTAAGTGTGTAATTTTATGTTTAAAAATTTTATCAGGCATCTACTTCATTCAGGAAACATGCTGGACACCAAAATTGATTGTCTCAATGAGGAGGCCCCTAGAGCAGCAGCATTAGTGTAGCCTAGAAACTTCTCAAAAAGACAAATTCTTGAACCTCACCCCCAAATGATCAACTCTGAAACTCTGAGAATGGGGCCCAGAAATCTGTGTTTTAATAGCTCCTCTAGTGATTCAGATGCAGCCTCGCTGGTATAAACAATAAAACACCATCTCTGATGACTTCAAGTAACCTGTATTTAGTGGGAGGTGTACACATAAGCAAACCACTCCGTACACTACCATAATGATCACAGAGGTAAGCAAAGGAGGAAGTTTCAGTCACCCCTGAGTTTAGGAAGGGCTTTGTAAGGCCCTGACACTTGTACTAGATCCTAAAGGGTGAGCACTCGGCCGCAGAAAAAGAAAAAGAAGAACATTGCAGAAACTGGGAAAAACATAAACAAAGACATGGAGGAAAGAAGAGGACATTTTGGGGAAAAGTTCAGTGGCTTGATAGGCTGGGAAGAAAACTGCGTGTGAACAACTGGACAGATAGAAAGAAAAGATAGGCAGAGTGCAGACTTTCAGTTATGAGAGAATTACACTGTGAGACTAAGCTAAGAATTTGTTTTTATCTGGAAAGCTATAGAAAGCAATTGAAATACTGCAGACTTGGGTTTAAATAAAATTTGGGGGAATTTGAGTGGTTCAAATAAACTGAAGACATGGTTTTGTATTGGAAAATAGTGTGATATTAGGCTAGAAAATTAGGCTGTGATAATATTTATTTAAATTTCTGTCTGGTACTACCATTTCAAGGCATTGTTGGTAACCAGGGTATTTGGGGTTGAATAGAAATTATTCTTGGCCTCAAAAAACTTATAATCTCCCAAAAAATTCAGACATTTTAACCTTTCACTCTGTGGCAGGAGCCCCAGCACAGAGCTCCAGAAGTATAAGGTGGTCTTAGGAAATGTTCGATAGAGCAGAAAAACTTTCAAAAGCTACGTAAAAGTCTGTAGCAGAGATGGCTCTGGAGTTTGGAGCCAGATCATAGAAGGGTTTGAATGCAGCCTACTATATGGTGATGGAGTTAGAAGGGCATCTCCAGCGAGGCAGAGAGGACTGAAGGGAACTGGGTACCTCATGGGCAGGAAGAGAGGAGACGAATAATTCAATGAAGTCAATAATATGTATTGAACAGTCTATCCCCAAATCTACCACTATGACCTTGCCAAAGAAGGCAGTGCAGATCAAGTAAAGAGTAAGTTGCTATATAAAGAATACACAGGCCAGCCTGGACAGTATGGTGAAACCCTGTCTTTACAGGAAAATATACAAATTAGTCAGGCATAGTGGTGTGTGCCTGTGGTCCCACCTACTTGGAGGCTGAAGTGGGAGGATTGCTTGAGCCCAGAAATTTGAGCCTGCAATGAGCTGTGATGGTGCCACTGCACTCCAGCCTGGGTGACAGTGAGACCCTGTCTCAAAAAACAAACAAACAAAAAAAAGCAAAGAAAAAGGAAAACAAGAATAAACAGGAAGATAGTTTTTGCAGGTTTCTGAAGAATCCACCACACCAAGACACCAACAAAAAACAAAGAAAGAAAGAGAAAGAAAGAAAGGAAGTTCAATTTGCAAAGCTCCAGAATAAAGTAAGATCTAATTAGTTACAAGTTAAAAGTAGAAACGTAATCAACCTTCATATTCAAACAGAATCATTGAGCAATTACGCTTATACTATACTTTTTGTAGAATAATTCTCCCTATACATTGGACTTTTTTTTTGTTGTTTCTTAAATATTCTAAGTTTCCTATCTTAGATATTTTATATGCTACACCATTTTCTATCTCTCTTTGTTTTTATTACACTCATCTAATTTCCTTAAGAATATATTATACATTAATTTACTCATTCATTTTATCTCTACTCCACACAAGCCATGAGGAACATGTGTTCTTCCTCACTTCATCCCCAGATTCTAGAACAGTATCTGCCAAAGGCAAAACAGTTTTTTTGGTCCGTGAATAAATAAAGTGCCATAAAGCAAACCCAAATTCTCTGTATTTTTACCAATATTTGTGAGCTCCAAATTTCCATGTTTCCTCTGTTCAAAGCTAGATTTCATCAGTATCTAATCTGAAAATTAGCCACCTCTAAAATCTCTTTAATCTCGCCATCATCATTTCTGATTGAGTATGAAAAGAAGCATATTTTGATCTTTGCATAACAATTGACTCCCTAATGTGACTCAATTAAAGCTTTTACAAAAGATTCTCACTACTTTATTGAAATGAAAATATATATGGCTCTTCAATTAACACATATGAAAGTGTTCTCTGCCGGGCGCGGTGGCTCAAGCCTGTAATCCCAGCACTTTGGGAGGCCGAGGCGGGCGGATCACGAGGTCAAGAGATCGAGACCATCCTGGTCAACACGGTGAAACCCCGTCTCTACTAAAAATACAAAAAATTAGCTGGGCATGGTGGTGCGTGCCTGTAATCCCAGCTACTTAGGAAGCTGAGGCAGGAGAATTGCCTGAACCCAGGAGGCGGAGGTTGCGGTGAGCCGAGATTGCGCCATTGCACTCCAGCCTGGGTAACAAGAGCGAAACTCCGTCCCAAAAAAAAAAAAAAAAAAGAAAGTGTTCTCTTTGCTTCCAGTAGCACAGCATGTTAAACTACCTTGATCCATTAATTCAAACAAGCCATGTTGGAAAGATTCTTGTATTTCTGTACATGGTATACTTTAAGTCAGTTCATACAAAAGCTAAGGGCTGAAATTGGCAGTTGTGTAAAAGAATGTTAGACCCTTGGAAGATAAGATATGACTTGTAATCAGGGACATTTGGGACTGTTCCTACATTTGTTGTCTGTGAAGAGTGAATGACACATGTCAGAACTTGCCCTGAATTAGTGATGGGAGTAGCTGAACGAGCCAAGTGTCACCAGCACAAGTCCCAGGAATGGACTCAATTTTCTTTTTTCTTTCTTTCTTTCTTTTTTTTTTTTTTAAGACAGAATTTCACTCTTGTCACCTAACCTGGTTTGCAATGACGCAATCTTGACTCACTTCAACCTCCGCCTCCCAGGTCAGGCAATTCTCCTGCCTCAGCCTTCCGAGTAGCTGGGATTACATGTGTACACCACCAGACTCAGCTAATTTTGTGTTTTTAGTAGAGACAGGGTTTCATCATGTTGGCCAGGCTGGTCTCGATCTCCTGACCTCAGGTGATCCACCTGCCTTGGCCTCCCAAAGTGCTGGGATAACAGGTGTGAGCCACCACGGCTGACCCATTTTCATTTATTTATAAGAAAATATTTATTGAGGAAACTCATCTAGGAACTAGAGATAGTTATACATAAGGCTGTCTTTATGGAATTTGTGTTATAATACAGGAGATGGTCACTAAACCAATAAATAGGTCTAAGATATGACCATAAAGTCTGGATGCATAGACTGATATACATAACTTGTTTATTGATATGTAATACATGGTATGTTTCATGATATTGCATAATACATTCAATGTGCATAATACATATGGTATAATATATTCCATTCATTAACAACAAATAGTTCAACAGGCTGTTCCTTTCTGCTCGTCCCTGTATATGCATCTGTGATGCACTGGTGTCTCTGATTTTCATTACATAATCTTTGTTTTTAGCAACTCTCATCAAAAGTAATCAAGATGAATCAATCTACATAAAAAATAAAATAATATTATCTATGTTTCTATAGTTTGTGACCACTCTATAGAATATAATTCAGATAAATAAGTGCTACGAAGAACAAAATAAGGTAATTATAATAGTTAAAATCATAGTGTTACTGCATGCCAGGCAGTGTTAGCTAATTCTCTAATTTTAGCTTAGAACACTGCCTGGCATACCGTATATATCTATCACATGGAGTTTTTGTTAAAATGCAGATTCTCGGTCAGTAGTTCCCAAGAACGGATTGAGATTATGTGTTTCTAATGAGCTTCCTGGTGACACTGATGCTGCTGGTGAATGGGCTACACTTTGAGTAGAGAGGGACTAAACATTTTATATGAAGCTAAATTACTTCCTTAAGGTTTCATAGCTTGGGAGCTGAGATCCCAAACAAGGAGGGCTGTCACTTGAATGTAGCTTTTAATCACTGTGCCCTAGTATATAGAGAATGATTGAGAAGAGGATGGGTGCTATTTTAGATAGGTAATCAGAATGGAGGGAGGAAACAAGCCAAGGAGTAGGAAGAGCATACAGTGGGAGGATCTGCAAATGCAGAGGCTTAGAGGGAGGAACTAGATATATGGGCCTGGCAACATACTGAATTGATTGATGAAAAGAAGGAAAGAAAGGCATGAAATTAGCACTAGCCCAGTGCACTTTTTTTAAAAATGTGATTTCTGTAATATAAGGGACAGTATTTGCACAGTCCAGGACCCAGGATCTATCATTAAGTAGACAGGAGTTTAAATCTTAACCACACTGTACAACATGACCTTAAAGAAACCATTTACTGTCTTGGTTCATTTGAGCTGCTATAGCAAGAGACCAAAAACTGAGTGGCTTATATGCAATCAAAATTTACTTCTTACAGTTCTGGAGGCTGGGAAATCCAAGATCAAGGTGTTGGCAGATTTGGTGTCTGATGAGGTACCCCTTTCCGGTTCCCAGACATCATTTTCACTGTGTCCTCACATAGTAAAAGGATGAACAAACTCCTTCAGATCTCTTTTATAAGGGCAATAATCGCATATATGAAGTCTCTGCTTCGTGACCTGGTCACCTGCAAAGGCCCCACTTCTAGTCCTATCACCTTGAGGGTTAGAATTTCAACATATGAATTTTCAGAGAACACAAACGTTCGGACCACTGCCCTTTACCTGTTCAATTTCCCACTTATGTAAAAAGTGATCAATATAGAATTCAAAGAGTTGTAATAAAGTAAGAAACGCTTATAAACTGCCTGGCACATATTGAGATCTACATGAATTAGCATTATTGTCTACAGAAAAAAACTATAAGTGGTCAAAGCTTAATATTATAATTGAGGGAGTTAAATCTGTAGGTAGAATGGTGATTTCAGGAATAGGAATGAATCAGAAGTATAAAGAATTAAAAAAGTAAAAAATATGCCCCAAATGGAGAAATAACAGTGTTTGTCTCTCATCGGTTTTACTCTTCTAGGCTGGGATTGCATTTCATGTAGTTTTTAGACAAGGTATATGTTCCAAAGCAAAATTATAATCTTTTCCTTATGAAACAGTGCATTTGGTTTATTCTTCCATGTGATAGTTTCTCTATTTCTTAAAAAGTACCAAAAAAAAGTACTTCCCCTAAGTTTCCTTAAAAATCTCATTTCAAATTTCACCGAAATCCCATTGAATGCATCTGCTTATGTTTACGTTCACAAAGTACACATTTGTATATAGATTCTAGATTTGTATATAGACTCTAGAACTCAATATATAGAACCAATGTAACTATTCAGCACTTACATTTTAGTTAAAAAGGGATGTTCTATCTTTCTTTAAAAGTAGTTTTAATTCCTCCACTAGTATCGCATAACTTTTCTTCACCTGGATGACTTTCTCACAATGAGAAGGAGAAATAACCGACACAAGCCTCTACATAGAAGAACTCTTGAAGGACTGGCTAAGTAGTTTATATTATTCTCATCTAGCCACATTGTCAACATGATGTACCTTTTTTGCCAAGCTTTTATTCGAACAGCTCCGGAAAGTCAGGAATACAGGTCTAGGTAGGATTTTACAAAAATGCAATTTTGATGCCTTGTTCACATCTGTCTACAGAAAAAGAAGGAGGCTGTTGAAAGTGACAAACGACAAATTGAGAACACTTTAAAAGAAGGTAATGATATACTCGGTGAAGCCAACCGTCTTGCAGATGAAATCAACTCTATCATAGATGTGAGTATTTGGTAGAATCCAAAGAGATATGATAATACATAAACGGGAGCCAATGAGAAAGCTCAGTAATATAAGCAAACACTAGTCTTTGTTTTCTTGTGGAGATAAAATTATTTTGCATGATTCTGCTGTGACCATGCCTCTCTATTGGTGACAACTGGAATGTCTCTTTGTTCTCCCATTGGACATGAGTGTTTGTGTAAGGGTACTCATTCACACAAATCCGTTTTTGTCCACAGCGATGAAAGACATTTCTTGTTCCTAGAGCAGCACTTACAGTCTGCTTCAATATTTATATAACATTGGTTAAAAGAAAAATGTAAATTTACAAACAGGCTTTTATATGTAATGTCTAATGTATTGCACAGAGTGATATGTAGTCAATATGCAAATGGCCTAAGATATCCTATGAAGTGGCATTGTTTAAATAGATAGACTTTTCTTGGTGTAAGTTGGCTTCTTAAATTCCTAGTCTATTTCATTAAATAATGACTTTAATTCTCTATTCTTTTTGCTATGTTAGTAAATTTGAAGTTTCATTTATAAACAAAACATGTGGGCCGGGCATGGTGGCTCATGCCTGTACTCCCAGCACTTTGGGAGGCCAAGGCAGGCAGGTTGCCTGAGTTTAGGAGTTCGAAACCAGCCTGGGCAACATGGCAAACCCCGTCTCTACTAAAAATACAAAAAGTTAGCTGGGTGTTGTGGCTGGGCACCTGTAATCCCAGTTACTAAGGCTGAAGCAGGAGAATTGGTTGAACCCAGGAGGCGGAGATTGCAGTGAGCCAAGATCATGCCACCACACTCCAGCCTGGGTGACAGAGTCAGACTCTGTCTCTGTCTCAAAAAAAAAAAAAAAAGAAAAAGAAAAAAAAGAAAACCTAAACACTTGTAGTTATGTCTCATAGAGAAATTAGTGAAAGAGAGAAGGCTTAAATTCACTTACTTAAAATACCCTCTTCTCTACATATCAGTATGTTGAAGACATCCAAACTAAATTGCCACCTATGTCAGAGGAGCTTAAAGATAAAATAGATGACCTCTCCCAAGAAATAAAGGACAGGAAGCTTGCTGAGAAGGTGTCCCAGGCTGAGAGCCATGCAGCTCAGTTGAATGACTCATCTGCTGTCCTTGATGGGTATGTCATTTATGTTGGAAATGTTTGTGTGTTTTGATGACTGTCCAAAGGTTTTGACTAGCATAAATGGTAGAGAATCATTTTCAAATCCTGATTGCTGTTAACTGTGAAAATACTAGCTACATGGCCTTCCTGTGGAAATGCTTAATTAGGAGGGTCTGGGCAAAGCTCTACTGGAGCAGCATCAAAAGTCTGAGTTACAAGTACATTCAAATATGGCTTAGTAGGAAGCGAACATAGCCCTAGGCTACACTTAGAAAAAAATTATTTTCTGTTCTTTATTAGAAAGCACAGTGGTTGCCTTATTAGCATTTTAAATAACACATATAAAACACATTCTGTTTCAAATTTCAGTTTTATATTTCTAATGGAATCAAAACAATATATTGTTAAAAAGGTGGCTTTCTTTTTTTCCCCCTCTTTTATGCTCCAGGGAGCCATTACATTTTCTCCTGTAAAATAACAGTTTATTCTAGCTGGAATTATTATATAGGTCCTAGGAGGGAGAGAAAAGAAGGAAGTATATATTTGACTTACAAACAGCCTTCTGTGTATAACTGATATGCGTCTCCTACAATTTTGGGATTTTCATGATTAATACAGGTGCTATTAGCCTCAAGAATAATTTGCCCAAATAAATCTACATCACATGGAAGGCTTTGTTCTCATACTTAATTCTTACTATTACAAAGAAAACAATATTAATTTCTGAAGACCTTGGACAATATATGCAGTATCATTTTATGTCAAGCATTTGCCACGTTATAGTGAAGGGTGGGTGGTAGATGAAACAGAAAGCTAGCTGTCATCAGACCCAGGCTCTAAGTCCTGACTTGGGGACATATTGGTCATTTGTCCTGAAACAGGCCATTTAACCTTCTGAGACTCACTTGATCTCCTCCGGGAAGTGCACCTATGCCAGAAAGATTTTATGATATTAATTCCAGCAATGTAGTACAAGTGCTTTGAATCTCACAGCATGCTTCACAAATAAGGTGAAGAATTGTCTCATATCACACACCTGCTTGAGCACATGGTTGCAGAGGAGGTTGCTATGGGTTTCTAAGATATGTTGGTAGTATTTCACAGCTGAATTACTTAGAAATATAAATTTAGGTTGTAGAAAACTACAGACAATATAATAAGTAGATACCTCACTATGATTCAGAATTGTGATAGTTACACTGGCCATGATCATTTGGAAGCCAGATTTCTTATAGTTAGGATGTTCTTCACTTGAGTACCTGAGTCCCATTGAGTGACCTGACATTCTTTTTTTGAATCATCCCACCAGAATCCTTGATGAAGCTAAAAATATCTCCTTCAATGCCACTGCAGCCTTCAACGCTTACAGCAATATTAAAGACAATATTGATGAAGCTGAAAAAGTTGCCAGAGAAGCCAAAGATCTTGCAAATGAAGCTACAGAACTGGTAAGAAACAAATAGCACATGTGGAAGCCAACCTTTTTGAATTTTTAATATTTAAGTCAGTCTGGAAAATCCCAGTAAATTGGCATATTTGTTTTGGGTTATTTTTGAAAACCTCTTTTAACATTTACCTAAAATAAATTCTCAGTATGGTATAATGATAGCAGAACTATTTTCTCAGTCACCCACTACCACTGTTAGGGGTTAAAATTATCATAGGAACCAAGCAGGTTTGTGCTACTAACTCACAAAATAAAATGGGCAAAGAGAACCCTCTAGATAGGGAAATTTATCACAATTATGTCAAATGTCATTAGTAAAAAAGAAAAAAAATAGCCATTGCATATAATCACACACAAGTTAGTTACATATGAAGTCTGGCTATAAAATGCTCTTTTTGTAAAACACACTGGTTCATATGCTTCTAAACTACTTATACCATTTTTATGAATTAATGAATTTTTATAAATTTATGAATTAAAAAGCTCTTAATCTTTGGCTGCAGTCATTGCTCATAATACATTTGGAACCAGTATTTTACAGTTTGGGCATTCAAGTTCTATCACCTTTTTTGAATGCCTTTGATGGCGACAAATCTTTATTCTTTAGATGTAAAGCAACAGTTTGTAAATAGTTGTGTGATAAACCTTGGTAGCACTATTTTAGTTTTAAGAAAATCTCATAGAAATCATCCTGAATAAAATGTTCAGAACCATCATTTATTCCTTTTGCTTCACATGGAATCTACCAAATACATGAGATTTTTTGGGGAGGGGAAACCTGACTGGACATTTTGACTCTAAGTGAAATACACATAAGCAGGGTTGTTAAAGAAACTGATCAATATTTCCTTTGCTTTGGCATAGGGCAAAAATGCTTTCTAGGATTTCAGGGATATTAGAGATACTTACCACAGTCTTAGCAGGTTCATTTTGTGGTCATAATGAAAATATCATAATCTCTGAGCAATTAGTATTGTTTTTGGTTTCTCTTGAATGAGCTGTACTATGTTCTGTTTACTTCTTATGCAACATAGTGCCATGATCATTGCAGAAGCATTTCTATGTTCATTTATCCTTTCAAAATGAATCTACTTTTCAAATCTAAACTAAAATTTTTATCCATCTTCTGATAGACAATTTTCTATTTTAAATACCCTATTTTCCACATTCCCCATTTTCATTTCACCTGTTTTATCCTATGATTATTTTCAGTATCTAAAATGGTGCCTGGCAAATAGGAGGCACTTATGAATAAATGAGTGATTTTTTTTTCATTATAATTGACACTTTTATGCCTATTCATGATCTTTTATATCAGTAAAAATTTGCTATAGTCATTTCTTCATCCTTATAAATTTCATGTAACATTTTATATTAAGGAACTGTTTAATTTTACCTCGTTTAATACCTTCACTTTATGCTTGGGAAACTCATTTTTTGCCCACATGAAGTGTGCACTTACTTCTTACCACCAATGTTTATGCATGGTAGGCTAACCAACCTCAAACACAGAGTGATGGTAAGTTGTAATGTAGTAGTATTCCATGTCATTATTCCTTCTCTCTTTCCACAATCATTTAAAAAAATTAAATGTCTGAAAAATTACAAAATAAGTGCTATAGAGAATCACTGACTTATTAAATCACTATCAGAAAAGAAAAAGGAGATGATCTGTCCAGGGAATTTTGTTGGAATGTGTTTCATGAACAGAATAAATAAAATTCTAGTTTTAAGAAATTATTATAATATAGTTCTATTTTTCTGGAAAATTAATATATTTGAAAAACATTATGTTGAGTAATTATCTATATAGGACTAACATCCCATGAATATAATATCTGGTATCATTGCTAAAGCTACAGATCAACAGAGAAGAATGAGATTAAATGTATTATTTATGTATAAAAGAGTTCAAAGCATCATAATACAGAAGAGTCCTCTACTCATTTGAGTCTAGCTTTATAAAAAAGGAAGAACATTTTCAATAAATTAAAAAGAAAAACAAAGAAACAAGGTACACATTTGCAGGAGGAAAACAAAAGGTCAAGTAATAAAGCAACCAGTTACCACAATGAAGAAAATGGAGGTCAGGTAATTTGAGAAGAAAAAAACATGGAAAAGACCATAAGAAAAGAAACAAAGAAATGTTAGAAATAACCTCCAAGCATAATTAAGACAATATTTTTAAATAAACTTTGATTTTTAAAAAATTTGCTTGCCTTCCTATGTATAAACACACATAGACAATCAAGAACCACACTGAAAGGAAAATAGGAGTGAGAAGGAAGTTGAGCCTTTATAAGCAGGAGGAAGCTAAACACAATTTGTTTGTAGTATAGTATTTCTTTGAAAAGAGTAATAGCTACTTGTCTTGCATAAATAATTTCATTAAATATCAGAAAGAAATATTATTTTAAGAACTCAAACATCATGAAATAGCAAATGCTATTTTTCTATTGGTGCTGGGTGAGGAAAGTACTTACAGCATTTGTTTTCCTATATATAATCGCCAAGTAAATAAATATCTCATTTAATACCTCTCTTATGGGTGTAAGGAAAAGGTGAAAGGAGATATGTCACTCATAAAATTGAATAAAAATGGAATATGGAGATCCAGTAATTTTTTCTAATCTTAGTTGCTTTGATCCTATAAAAGACTCTAAAATAACAGAGAATTGGATGTATTTAAAAATTTCCAAGTGATAGATAAATTCGAAGCCTACATTGTTCACTAGATCAGATTTTTTAAATTGTTGAACATGTTAGGGTTCTCTAGAGTGACAGAACTAATAGGATAGGTATATATAAGAAGGGGAGTTTATTAAGGAGTATTGACTCACACCATCACAAGATGAAGTCCCACAGTAAGCTGAGCAAGGAAGCCAGTCTGAATCCCAAAGCCTCAAAAGCAGGGAAGCTGACAGTGCAGCCTTCAGTCTGTGGCTGGAGGCCGGAGAGCCCCTAGCAAACCACTGGTGTAAGTCCAGGAGTCCAAAAGCTGAAGAACTTGGGAGAAAGATGAAGGCTGGAAGGGTCAGCAGGTCTGCTCGTTCCAGTTTCTTCTGCCTGCTTTTATTCTAGCCACACTGGCAGCTGATTAGTTGGTGCCTACCCGCATCGAGGGTGAGTCTCGCTCTTCTAGTCCACTGACTCAAATGTTAATCTCCTTTGGCAACACCCTCACAGACACACCGAGGAACTGTACTTTGCATCCTTCAATCCAATCAAGCTGATAATATTAATTGTCACAAGTTCGCTCCTTGTCAGCTTGAACCCATACACAAATCCTGAAATCATACATAATTTCCAAATAAAGACACTAATAATGTCATAATTACACCTAACATAATACAACTATCCCTTGTACAATTGGAAGCACACTAAATCCTTAACCTAAATGCTATTACATAAAGTTAACAACACTTAAATGCTGATATGAAGTCAATAAATCTTACGTCACATGATAAAGCAAAAAGAAAGGAAATGAAGATGTTTTCTTAGTACAAGTGTATACATGCACTAACATATTCTTAACAGAATAATGAGGAACTATTCATGACAATTGCAGTCCTCATTTCTGCAACGAATCACGTGTATGTAGCTGGTATTGATGAGTACCTGCTTCTACTACCCATTATGTATTCCCTTTGCCTTCTGCAAGCACCTCAGTGGGTCATGGTTTTTTACCTGACAGGTTTTTTACCTGCTGAGTCTATGGACCAAGTGGCAGAGCAGTTTGCACAGCAGCCTGAACCTGTTGCAGAGCCCACTCAAAACTGGTGGCCTTTCAGGTCCCTCAATAAATGGGCCAGAGTAACACACCCAGGTACAATACTTTCATCCTTCAATCCAATCAAGTTGACCCTTAATATTAACCATCACAGTGAATGAACAGATTTTCTATGATGTTGGCTCCTTGGAATGACCACCAGAGGCAATAGGTGCACTCTCAGTAGGTCACTGGGATATGAGGCCCCCCTCTGCCCATTTCCACTGGAAATGTCTTAGATGCAGTGCTTTTTCAATCAGGTATATTCAAACAACAAACAAACAAATAAAATACGGCTAATGCAGAATGAATTCCATAGTTCAGGTTCTTAAAGATAGTGCAAAATCATCACACAATCTCCACCTATTTTGAAACATTATCTTCTTTATCTTATTTTTATGAAAAATAAATTACATTTTCACTTCCCATGGCAAATGGAGTTCTCCTCTTGGTTCTGTCCCTTTTCTTCACCTTGCAATCACTGTCATTTTGTACAGCTTTCTCTCTATCTCTGTCTGTCTCACACACGCATACACCCACAATGTTCCTTAATATCTTCTAATCCTGAACTTCCTTTCTCAATTTGTTTAGTTAGATATTCACTAAAAATGAGTATTAGAAATGGGGGAAAGTTTATACTGGTTGAACTTGGGTTTTCCAAAGAAACAGAACTATTAAGAGATGGATAGGTAGATTGATTGATTGATTGATTGATTGATGACAGATAGATGAGTGGACGGATAAGTAGATAATAGATTGGTAGATGATAGATACATAGATTAGATAGATAGAGAGAGAGAGAGAAAGAGAGATTAGATGATAGACAGGAAGAAGAAGAGATTTATTCCGAAGAATTGGCTTACAGGATTATGGAGGCTGTGACGTTCCAGAATCTGCCAGCTGCAGATCCAGGACATAGTTCACTTCAAGTCCAAAGGCCAGAGAAACAAGGGGAGCTGATGGTAGAAAGTGCGGTTCAAGAACAAGAGAGAAAATGAGATGAGATGTCCCAACACAATCTGTAAGGCAGAAAAAAGGGAAGGACTTCCTCCTTTCTTTGCTTTTTGTTCTATTCAGGCCCTCAAGAGACTGAGTGATGCACAACTATATTAGGGAGGGCAATCTCTTTTGTCTGCATCCAGAAACACCCTCACAGACACACCAGAAGTAACGTCTAATCTAGGTGCCCGTGGCCAGTCAAGTTGACACATAATTTACAGTCACACTGGCCT